TGTTGTTGTTGTTGTTGTTGTTGCCATCCAACAATGTAAGAAGGTCTCAAGGCTTAAATTAGGAACTGGAGAAATGCAGGCCAGCCTCTAGACAAAAAAAAATTGTGTCTGTTTATGCAAGAGATAAATACGGTCCTAGAAGCATCCTGGAAATGTTTCTAGAGAAAGCATTTATCTTTGCTTTACCAAAATTGTATGAGTGCCCATCATTTTGGGGTGTAAAGGAAAATGAGAAAAAGCAACTGCTTTTTCAGTGAGAATGCCACCCCAGCAAGTTCTGGAGGTCAGTTTTGCTGACCCTGCTTTCCAAACTCCAACAATGTTGCCCAGTTTAATTTGTACCACAGGATTAAAAATGGGGTGAGGTAAAGGTGAAGGTTCCCCTTGACATTGAGTCCAGTCGTGTCCGACTCTAGGGGGCGGTGCTCATCCCCGTCTCCAAACCATAGAGCCAGCGTTTGTCCGTAGACAGTTTCCATGGTCACATGGCCAGCACGACTAGACACGGAATGCTGTAACCTTTCCACCGAGGTGGTACCTATTTATCTACTTGCATTTTTACATGCTTTTGAACAGCTAGGTTGGCAGGAGCTGGGACAAGCGATGGGAGCTCACTCCTTCACGTGGATTCGATCTTACGACAGTTGGCCTTCTGACCTTGCAGCCCAGAGGCTTCTGCGGTTTAACCCACAGCACCACCACATCCCAGTATTTTTGGGTGAACCTCAGCGCAAATGTGCCAGCCTCCAAATTTCCACTGTGTTTCGTTTCTGCTTTCAGAAAGGCACTGCTGGCCCTTCTGTTTATCTCCCCTGCTTCTTCCATTCTCCTGCCCCTTTCTCAGATTTTCCAAGGGTCAAGCTATATGCCACGCGTGGGGTCCTTGAAGGCCGTACTTTTGCAAACGTTAAAATACTGGCAGCATTCTAACTTTAGAATGAAACCGAGGGCGCACAACATGACTTTGCCAGTTGTTGCTGCCACGGGCTTTAATAGGAAAAGGAAACATTAAAGAGCAATTTAAATGCTGCTCAGAAATTCGTCAAACCAAAGAGAGGTAATGATTTCCCCACAGGTTGGAATAACATACATACAATGGTGGCAATTTTTCACTAGAATCTGGGAGAAATATTTATCTGTGAGGCAGAGCTTGGAACAGAAAGTGTAAATATTTCAATTTCTGGGATATTTTAAAACTTGCTGTGTACCTGTGCCAGATTTCATCCACCTGGTTTGAAAATCAACACCTTACTATGCAGTCACAGCCCAAAATATTGACACCCTTGCAATTCTGTCAGAAAATGCAACCCTTCTCTCAGAAAATGGTTGCTACCAAATATTAAGGTAAGGGTGCCAATAATTTTGGCCAGTGCTTTTTGGGTTTCTGTGTGGGATTGTATCAGATTTGACCTTTTTCCTCTGGTTTTGTGTGTGTGTGTGTGTGTGTGTGTGTGTGTGTGTGTGTGTGTGTGTGTGTGTGT